GTCCGGAAACTCGAAACAGGTTCGGAGCGAAGTGCCTTTGGGTGTCCCGCCAGGTGTAACCGCCGACAAAATGACTCCAAATTGACGTTTTTACCAATTAAAATAATGTAAATTGAGGGCTTCAGAGGAAAAACGCAGAAAACTCCCCTTCGCAGCGGTGGCGGCGGAAGAAGAGCAGTCATGCAGACCCAATTGCCGATATGTATGCAGCGCCGTCCTGTGGCTGAAGTTGCATTTTTGGGATATTGCTTCATGAAATACATTTAAAAGCATAATAACATCAGTTGATCAGGGTTGTTTCTTGGAGATGCGCCGAGAAAGAACGTAATCGAGCTACAGGAATAAGTTTCACGCGCGTACACCAAAGGAAAAGGCCAATGCTTCACTGGGGCTGAAAACCGGCCCTTTCTTGATCGAGATTGAGGCGAACTAGAAGCTAAGCATTTTTCTTTACTTAGACTCCTCCAAAACGAAAGGAGTTCCACCATGAGGGGCAATAGGGCGCTGCTGGCACTGCTGCTGGCTATCCCTGCTGCTGCTGTTGCAGGCGCAAAGGCAACAGCAGGCGAAGACGAGTCCTCCCCCTTCAACTATATCACAGCAGTAAGTGCCACACTACTGACACACAGGCAGGAGCATCAGTAGTGACAGCAGCAGCAGCTTTTACTGCCGCTGCTGTGCTTCTCCACTCGGAGCTCCTGCTTCGCGTCGTTGAGCCTATGAAGCGAATGCCGCCATCGGCGCTTTATGCTAATGAGTGTCCTTTTATTTCACTGCGGGGAACCGTGGGGGAGTGAGGACTCGTCATTCAACTTCATGGCCCCAACAGCAGCCACAGCAGGAGACTGCAGCACCACCGGTGCTGCTGCTCGTGTTGCAATTGCTTTTGCTGCGGGACGTAGGCAGAGGGTGCTGAGCAAACCACACGATGGAGTGTATGGCAGAAAGATATGATAGGGTGGAATGTATGCACGCCGGAGGTGTGGATGTGTGTGTGCTTTGGTTTTTCAGAACCTGCTGGCCCAGTTGTTGATTCTGCTGGTTTTGTTCCTTGGGAGTTGTATTGGCGTCTGTTGCCTGATGGGAATCGACACGCCAACGACCTTCTCGGACAAGCCTCTCGTAATCAACAAGGAGTACTGATTGCTGCTGAGGTTAGCGGTGTGTTTGTTGCAGCAACTGCTTCACGGCACTCTGCTGCTGCTGCTGCTGTGGTAGCTGCAGCGTCTTTATGTGCTGAGGCTACTGCTGTTATGTTGCACCGGCGGCTGTAGCTGTTACAACAGCTACTGCTTTGCTGCTACAACTGCTGTTATTGTGGCTTCGGCGGCTGTGCACCGGCGGCCGAGCAACTTGCATGCGGACCTGCTGCCGCGCGTGTTTTGGGGGTTTAGGAGATGGGGCCTGGA